ACTTGCTGCACAGACTGCCTTTATTCCACTGGATATTCTTTCCTGCTTTGTCAAAGATTAGTTGGCCATACATTTGTGGGTCCGTTTCTGGGTTCTCTATTCTGTTCCGTTGATCTAAGTGTCTGTTCTTGTGCCATCTCTGCCTTCCTTTTCTCATCTGCGGTATGGGAATAATCATATCTTCTTCGTAGGAAATAGAAGTTAAATGTGATAAAGAGTTTAGCACAGTGCCTGGCACACAGTGTGCTTGCTAAATGGCAGGTACTGTTGTGGAGTGGTGCAGAAGCAGGCCATTCCAAGGAGCAGGGCCTTGACAGAGAAGGCCCAGAGATGGGACATGATGGGGCATCAAGGAAAGAAAAGGCCAGGAGGGAAGAGACTGCTCCTCTTCTCTCCTCTCCATAAAGGCCACTGCTGCCTCTGTGGGCAGGGAAACTAGGAAGTCTGAGTCAGGCCTCTTCCCATCTCCCTGGCTTCCATCATCCCCGTGGGGAGATGACCTAAATCTTTCAACCTCCATGCCAGGATGTGTCAGGTGCCTGGAACTGGTGGAAGAAGGGCTCCCCTGTCTGACCCTGTGCCCTTCCCAGAGCTGAGGGGTAGAGCCCGCAGGGATTCCGTGAACAAGTGCCGAGCGTGGGTAGCATGCAGCCAGTAGGGCCTGTGGACCCCTCTCCTCAAGGTGCCGTGGAGAGTGGAGCTGCATCCCCCACGCGGAACCCTTCCCCAGCAGGTGGGCGCCTGGTGGGGCCAGATGCTATGACAGATTGCAGAAGTTTTTCTGAGTTTATAGGTTTTAAAAGGTCAGGCTCTTTGGTGGTAAAAGTTTCAGAGACCAGTAAAATTTACTGGAGGAGACGGGAGACACGACTGAAAGTAAAAGGCTGCAGCCAGGAGTCTAAGGGATCTCAGCTCCATCCCCTAACGGGCTGTGGGAACGGAGGCAAGACACAGAGGCTCTCTGGGCTCTGTGTTTTAACCTGGAAAATGGGAGCAAGCACCGTGGTAAGGGGCAGGAGGGTGTGCGCCCCCATGAGCCTGGGCTCTTCACCGCCTGATTACACTGAGTCCCAGAGCCCTCTGTAGGATTTAAACCCAGGTTGATTGATTGAATTCTGGAAAGTGCCAAGCACAGGCGTGACTACAGTCCTCCTGGGCACGGTGTTGGGAGCAGCTGGACACAAAGCCAAGGCACAGGCCTACAGGTCCTGCGTCCTCAGGGCTTTTCATTACCCACCCTGGGCCGCTGCCGTCTGCGTGTCTGCCTCTGCGCCCCCGGAGGAGCCCGGCCGTCTGCAGGCAGAGCTCCGGAATCAAATTAGCCAGGCCTCTGCTTTTTCCCTCGTCCCCACCGGCCACGGCGAGTTCATCAAGGCCGCTCACTAATTTTTATCTTGTCTAAAAGGGACAAAAGTGACTCCACAGTTTCATCGGAGGCAATTTACACCCCGCCACTGGCCACAGCTCCAACTACCCCCTGTCTGCTGTGCCATCAAATCCATTAATAGGAAATTTCTTTGGGGGAAACTTGACTGATGCTCCATCAGAGAGGCACAGAGGCAATACATCTCCATTCGAGGCCGTGGCCTGCCCGGCTCGCTATAATCCTATTACCTAAAGCTAATTCCCTAATGCACACACTGTACCAAGACATTCTCTTCCCTCCCCAGCACAGTTGGGCAGTCCCAGAGGATTCCAGGAGCTCAGAGCAGAAGTGAAGGCTTGGGGCTCAGAGGACAGGGTCTCCAGGCTTTTTGGTTGCTCCCTGCCCGGGGCTTGGCATGTGGCCTTGGCTGGCCCTCCATTCCACAGCACTGGAGGGTCAGTCACATTCAGGCCACCCCAACTCCACGGCTCTGCCTCTCCTGAAGCCTTCTTTTCTTTTCCTCCCTCTATTTCCCTCTTTTTTTTTTTCTCCTTTTCTCCTTGCCTTTTACTGCTAGCTTCCTTTTCTTCTCCGTTTCCTGCCAATGTTTTCTTTTCTCATCTTCCTTTTCCTCTTCCTTTTACTTTTGCCTTCTCTCCCTTCTTCTCCAGATCCCTCTTTTCCTGTAGTATTACCTTCTGTTTCTTTGCACCATCTTCTTGCCCCCCTCTCCCCCACTGCTTGGGGACCATGCCCGCACAAGTTCAGTGCCCAGTGCTTCTTCTTGCTGTCTGTCTCCAGGTGGCTTGGCTCTGTGGAAGGAATGGGCTCCAGGCCACACTGGTCGTGGCTTGGGGCAACAGGTGAGGGACTGCCTTGTGGGTATGCGCAGGGAGCCCCAGGGAGGACAAAATGGGGCATTCGGAGGCAGTGGTTAGGACATGGAGGGGAGCGGCTAGGTGTTGTTTGTTCTTTAATGATGCAGCAACTGTAATGGAAACCCCAGTGGGTTACTGCTAAGCACCAAACCTGGTAACGGCCATACGAAGGGCCCCCGTCAGTGAATGGTATAATGCTTGTTGTAGATTTTATAATGCACGTAAACAAGAGGAAACATCCTTCTAGAAATTTACAGCAGATTTCTCAGTGACAATGAGAAATGAACATGAGCCTAAGAATCTTTGTGTATCACTCCAGATGCTGGGCTTGAAGATGGATTTAGGAATCCACAAATGCCCTTCCTGAGTTTGAGCCCCTTCAAGACCTCAGCCTGGATGCCTGGGGACAGCCTGGTTCTTCTTGCCTTGTCCTGCTGTCAAGGCTGGATGTACTCGTTCTGGAGTGGAGGTGCCTAGTTTCTCCTGTTGTACCGCGTGTCCTCATCTCCATTCCTCCAAAAGGAATTCCTGGAGATGATTTTCCGTGTTTTATCTGGATTGTGCAGTGAGGAAGCACACGACTTCAGAGAAGGGTAGCCCGATCTCCTTGAGCTGGACCAAGCATTCCGGCACCAAACTCTGGCTAATAGCCATCCAAAGGGACTCCATCAGTGAGTGTTAAATGCTAATGCAGATTTCATCATGCACACGAATAAGGGGGGAAATCCAGACAAAACCAAAAAGGACTCGGCCCTGACCAAGGTGATTTTTTTTTAACCATGACAACTGAGAAAATTCTTCTTTCCCACAGTGTTCCCAGCCTATGCCACACTTAAATCCAACTGGAAATGGAATTGAAAGGAATAAAAATATTTGTGGTTGAGGCTTGCCATGATTTGATACAGGTGTATCTTGCTTTTCACACACTCGAGGCAAAGAAGTCTGCTTCTACCCAAACGGTAAAGTGGGAGTGAGATTCACTCAAACAGAAATTCCCAGCCACACGCTTCTCTGACAGTTTTTTTGGCACACAGCTGGGTGTCTGAGGGACAGATCCTTTCCTATTCGACTGACAAAGGAAAAAGAAACCCTTGTTTCAAGAAAACGTTTAAAAGCAAAGTATTGATGGGACACCTGGGTGGCTCAGTTGGTTGAGCATCTGACATCAGCTCACGTCATGATCTCATGGTTTGTGAGTTCAAGCCCCACATCAGCCTCACTGCTGTCGGCACAGAGCCTGCTTCAGATCTTCTGTCCCTCTCTCCCTCTGCTCCTCCCCTGCTCAGCCTTTCTCTCTCAAAAATAAATAAACATTAAAAAAATTCTTAAAAGGAAAGTGTTGACAATGTTCATGAAATGGTATTAATAAGCAAAGGACAGGATGGGATGCAAAATTATATGTACAGTGTATTTACTTCATTGTACACATTATAACAGAAAATTATAGAGGAATAGATATCAAAATATTAACAGGGGATGTTTCTGGGTAGTGAGTAAGCCCATGGATGATTTTAATGTTTCTTCATATTTTTCTATAATAAGCATGTATTATTGTATTCTCTTTTTTAATTAAAAAAACTTTTTTAATGTTTATTTATTTTTGAGAGAGAGAGAGAGACAGAGAGACAGAGCACAAGTGGGGAAGGGATAGAGAGAGAGGGAGACACAGAATCTGAAGCAGACTCCAAGCTCTGAGCTGTCAGCACAGAGCCTGATGCGGGGCTTGAACCCACAAACCGTAACATCATGACCTGAACTGAAGTCAGATGTTTTACTGATTGAGCCACCCAGGCACCCTTATTATATTTTCATAATACATGTTATGGGGGTGCCTGGGTGGCTCAGTGAGTTTAGTGTCCAACTCTTGATTTCGGCTCAGGTCATGATCTCATGGTTCGTGGGTTTGAGCCCTACATCAGACTATGTGCTGTCAGTGCTTGGAGCCTGCTTGGGATTCTCTCTTCCTCTTTCTCTGCCCCTGCTCCCCTTGTGCTCTCTCTCTCTCAAAAATAAATAAACTTAATAATAATAATACATATTATGTATATGAAACAATATATAAATATATTTGCTTAGTATAAATTACATATACAGGTTACTACTTAAATATTTAAATTTAAATATTTTGTTGAGAAAAATAAATATTTTGATGAGGACAAAAGGACAGAGGTAACCCCATGTGGTAACCCAGGTCCCTTCCTCTGTGTGCAGAGATGCCCGGCCCCTGCTTAGGAAGGGGAGTGAATGAATGGCACCCCCTGCTCCCGCCGCACCTCCCCCTGCCCCAGCCCCATGCTACCCAAGCGTACTAGCCATGGGACATAAATGAAGGTAGCAGCCCAGGGCCACTCCCAGCAGACAGGCTGCACCCTTGCTCCAGGAGCCCCTGCAGCGGCCCCCAACCCCCCAGCCCCCGACCCCAAGTTACTCCTTGGAGCATTTGGCCCAGCCACCTGGCTGAAGGGGCGGACTAAGTCCTGCCCCATGACATCAGCTGGGCGGCCTCCCCTCTCACTGGCTCCCTCTCCTTCCTTCCCACCCTGAAACCTGATCCGGCTGAGGGACTGATTGCAGGAACTTGGCGACTGTCCAGCCCTGGTGGCCCCTCAGCAGTGGGAGGCTGCAGCCTCAGAGGTGTGGAAGGCGGCCCTGAGGAGGCAGGCCGGCTGGGACATGAAGCCGGCAGAGTGTGGGCAGCCTGCTTCTCAGCACGTCTTACCCTGAGGCCACTCCAAGGCAGCTCACGCCCGGGGAAAGTCACCATGCTGTCGTGGGTGCCACGGGTCCTTCTGGCCTTGCTTCTGCCCACACTCCTGGCACATGGACAAGGTAAGGGGACAGGTGGGAAAAGATACGGGACATGGCTGGCCACCTGCAGAGGTCGGGTAGGGGATGTTTGATTCCCCCAGGGGTTGAGGGAGGGAGGTTTTCAGAGTGGGTGCTGCTTCGGGAAAGTCAGGGATCTTGCCACTTCCGACCACAAGAATTTGAAGGCACTATGGTCCAGCTCAAAAGCAGGGGTGGTGGAGTGCCAGGTGAGGGCCGGGCTTGCCGAGAGGGGCTCCTGTCTTCTTTGCCCTGCTCCCAAACTCATGGAACAGTAGCTGCAAGGGACCTTGGACTTCATTTGGTCTACTCCTTCTTGTTATAAATGGGAATGCTGTGTCCAGAGAGGGGGCATAATTCACTCAAGGTCACACAGCACATTAGCAACAGAGTGGCGACCAGAACCAACCTCAGCTTCCCTGGTCTTGTTGCATGGGCTCCCTGGGCCTCCTTTCCTCAAGTTCCCTTCCAGAGCTAAACTCTAATAACCCCAAACTTCTCTGCATTCCCCTACCCTTTCCTCCTGCTTTCCTGGGATATGAGGTGTTTGGGTCACAAAAGGATTTGTTTCCTTTTGCCACAAACAATATTTATTTCCTGTTTTGGAAGGTTTTCTCCCCATGCAGAGCTAGGTTGGGAGAGCTGGGGCACAATTAGGATGCCGTCCCAGGGCTGAACAGAGAGGAAGAACTGACATGCACGTGCGTGCTGGCTTTCCTGCCTTGAGCTGTCCCTGTGGAAGCTCGGCAGGACCAACAGACCCAGGAGGCGTGTTAAGGCTGTGGCTCGGAGCTTTCTTGGCTGAGGAGAATTGCTGTCCAGTCTGGCTCCCTGCACACCGGTCCGTTTCCCAGCAATAGACTCAGGGCTATTGCTTGCGTAGTGAAGACATAGAGAGATTTGGATTTGAATCTCATTTCCCCCACTTGCGGGGCACAGTCTCCACCTTTCTGAGCCTTGGGGACCCTTATCTGGAAACCGTGCCGTCATGACAGCCGCCCCCATGGGCTGCTCGAAGATTGAAATGAAGAATGTGTTAACTGATATTATTCCACAGGAATAAGTGGTCTCTTGTCCTCCCCCTCTCTCTGCTCTTCTCTGTCCTTCGGAGGGAAGCTGAAAGTTTATCTGGGAAAGTGGGTGGGGAGCAGGAAGGGGGATCTGTAGCAGAGATTTGCCCACATTATATAGACAAGATGCGAGAAGAGGCAGCCTTGTTTGGAGAAAGTCAGGCCCACTGGCACCTGGTCTGTGGAAGACCCCAGAGGCACCCTGCTAGTCCCCTAACAGCTTTGCCCCCTGTGCCCTGGTCCTCTAGGGTTCTCGCATTCCTTACCCTATGACTTTCACCTTCTTTTTCTTGGCACCTTTCAGGAAGTGCTTCCGCTATTTCCCAGAGGGGTAACAGGTGCACGTGAAACCCCCGTAGAATGGGGTGAGGACCCCAGAGTTAGGTTTTCTCATCGCCATTTTGTCCTTATAGGTCTCCTGCTCTGGGAACAATTCAGTTTCTCCTCACTTCCTGTAACCTCACGTCTAACCCTCTTCCCAACCCACCAAATCTGCCCATAAATCAACCCTCTGGAGGAGACCTGCCCCCAGGAGTTTGTGCGTGCATGACTCAGAGGGGAGGATTTCGCAGGAAGGAATGGCAGCTTTCACGGGATGCCTCCTTTCTTTCTTTGTTAATAGGAGGCTGGGGTCAAGGAGCTGACGAGGATCTGGCCAGACGCTGAGGTCTGACCTTGACTGAGGCAAACCTTCATGCAGACCTTTGGGCTTAGAGATGGTGTACTTGGGGCCACCTTTCCTTGCAGCCCCCTCTCCTTCCAGTGCCCATCCCGAGGGCCACTCCTCCTTAGCTCCCCAGCTCCCCTCCTCTGTCTCCTGCAGACCACCTCCTCTGGGCAGGTACCTGCTCAACCTTTCTCAGCCCCTGGCCCACTTAGACCTCACCTGTCTTATATCACCTGCGTTTAGAGCCCAGCTCCCCTCTCTCATGGAAATGAGTGTGTAGGTTACCCTTAGGAGACAATACCTTCAGATTTGGGCAGGAATCTCTGTGGACAAAACATTCCAGTGACGGGACTTTCAGTCTGTGGAAGTATCTGGGACTCTGGGGTGAAAATAGTGGAGGCATTTTCCTTTTAATAGCCTTCAAACCAGGCCAAAAGATGGGGGAAGCCTCAGGCTCTGATGCCCACTTTGCCCTGTTCTTCCTAGCCAGGCGCAGGGAGCACCCCCAGGCTCAGAACACCTCTAGGCCCGCTCTGCTGAGGCTGTCAGATTACCTCCTGGCCAACTACCAGAAGGGCGTGCGGCCCGTGCGGGACTGGAGGAAGCCAACCACCGTGTCCATCGATGTCATTGTCTATGCCATCCTCAGCGTGGTGAGCACTAGGCCCCAATCTGCCCCACTCAGAGGTGGGCCTTTTGGGGTGAGAGACCATGTAAGGCCGGGCCACTCCCTGGGCAGCACAGGGGACATTCAAGTACCCAGAGTACCTGTGATCTGGCACAGACCCGTGCCAGGCTGGACAACGGCACCGACCGTCTACAGAGCTGCCCAAACCAGAAAACCAGGGTCACCTCTGTGGCTGCCTCTCTCAACCCCTATTCCTAGAGGTCCACTTACCACATGTGGTTCTTCATGCATTGTATCATGGTAACCATGTCCCCACATAAGCTGTCCTGTTCATCTGTCCTATTCATTTCTAGGCCCTTGGTGTCTGACACGGGCCCCTGATACATGACAGGTGTTGCTAAATGATTGTTGAACAATTAATCCTAAACCAATTGATAAATCAATTCCTTCATCAATGACTGTAGTAGGGCGGGGTGCACTGCCTGGTGAGGAGGTCAGACGTTGTGCAGAGATAAACAAGAGAGCAGTTGCAGAGATGGGGAGCACCAGAGCAAGCAGGACCTGGCCTCGCGGTCTCTACTGCAGCCCGTGTGGCTGTTTCGGGAAGCAAAGCTGGGAATTAGTTGGGAATGAGGGACAGTGATGAATTTTGGACTGTGTGTTTTTGCATTTCTTGACTGCATACTAGGGTGGGAGGGAGATACAGATGTAGATATACAGGCATACAAATATGTAAAAGTGTATAGATATAGGGGCATCTGGGTGGCTCAATCAGTTGAGCATCTGACTCTTGATTTCGGCTCAGGTCATGAACTCACGATTTGTGGGACTCAGCCCCATGTTGGGTTCCTTACTGACAGCACAGAACCTGCTTCGGATTCTCTCTCTCTCTCTCTCTCTCTCTGCCCCTTGCCCGCTGGTATGCATATGTGTCCTCTCTCTCTCAAAATAAACAAATAAACATCTAAAAAATACAGATAGATAAAATATTTTCTATATATCTTCTCTTTTTTTAAAAAAAATGTTTATTTATTTTGAGAGAGAGAGAGCATGAGCAGGGGAGGGGCAGAGAGAGAGAGAGGAAGAGAGAGAATCCCAAGCAGGCTCCACACTGTCAGCACAGAGCCTGACTCAGGGCTCGATCCCACTATCCATGTGATCATGACCTAAGCCAAAATCAGAAATCAGACACTTAACTGACTGAGCCTCCCAGGCACCCCCTTTATGTTTTCCCTTATCTTATATGTTACGTATATTATATATGTAAAATATATGTAGCATAGAGACATATATATGTATAACATAATAGAAAATAGTAAAAGATGATAGATAGATAGATAGATAGGAAATTAAAAAAGAAACAGTTGTATTTCTTCCTAGATGTGTCCTAGTCAAAGACCAACCAACTCCTCCTGGTTGGCCCTTTTCTCTTTTTCTTCACTACCTCTTCCCGAAGGAATAGGGACACAAAGCAACGGCTCCTCTTGGGGTACGTGTGCAAGGTGGACGTCCGCCCACGGGGCACTGACGCTGAGCCCTCTTTCCTTTCACAGGATGAGAAGAACCAGGTCCTGACCACCTACATCTGGTACCGGCAGGTGAGCGCCCACCCCCATTTCCTGGGACGGGATCTTCCCCTTCCAGGAAGGATTCCTCAAAAGAGTCAGGAATGCCAGAGGCCTTGGTGAGGGGAGGGGGGAAGAGGCTCAGAGACAGACTCAGGAGACCCGGGAGTCTGGGCCCCTCTCCTCTCAGGACTGGAGATGGAAGGAAGCTCCGTGCTCAGCGGAGGAGAAATCCTCCAAACCCCCTCTGGTTTCCGAGTGGTTTCACAGCATCTTGAACAACAACTTGTCTGGTCTCTGTTGATAAACACCTCCAGTGCCCAGTTGCTCAGCGGGAAGCTACCGCACTTTTAAACAACTCTAATTGCTAGAAAGTTCTTCCTTCTATTAAGCCAAGGGTGATGACAATCAAATTGGGTGATTGACACGGGGCAGTCCCATCCACCGAGTCCTCACACCCTCAGCCACCTCCCAACTCTGCAAGCTTCTGAGGGACATCGCTCAGCCACTGCTGAGAACGTCTCTGAGGCCTTCAAGGCCTTCATGTGGCCCTTCTGGCAGCGAGCTGGTGGGGAGCAGGGGTGGGGGGCGAGCTGGTAGAGAGCTGATGGGGAGCTGGCAGGGAGCTATGGGGAGCTGGCGGGAGCTAGAGCGCGGTGGAGCGAATGGGAGCGATGGGAGCTGGGGAGCAGCTGGGAGCTGGGGGGGAGAGCTGGTGGGGAGTTGGTAGAGAGCTGATGGGTAGCTAGCTGGGAGCTTGCAGGGAGCTGGCTGGGAGCTGGTGGGGAGCTGATGGGGGAACCGTGGGCAGGAGCTTTATGGCGGGATGGGGGGAGCCATGGCAGGAACTGGTGGGGAGCCTGGCAGGCAACTGGTGGGGAGCTGATGGTCGGAGCTGGGGGGGGAGCTGGGGGGAACTGGTGGGGAGCAGAGCTGGTGGAGGCAAGGGACCAACTGCGGGCTGGGTAGTGGGTACTGTGTCCCACAGGACTGGATCCTAGGCTGGCAGGCCCTGATGCTTCCGCGAGCAGATTTGAGAGTAGAAGGGAAACAGAGGAGCAAGAGCAGAGGGGTGGGAGGATGGGGCCAGGTCGGAGCAGGTCAAGTTTCTAGAGGGGCGGCTCTGTGGGTATCACGGCCAGGCGTGGCAGGTCTGCCTCCTCCACTGCTTGTGAGTAGTGTACTCCACTACCACCAGCATGTGGGGCTAAGAGGGCTGGGGTGGGCAGGCCAGATGCTGATTCCTGCCAATGGCTGCTCTCTTCCAGCCCTAGAAAATCTTTGATATAAGAGCACTCCCTGATGTCAAAGGAAGGGATGTCACAAGAAGAAGCAGCCCAGGGCTCCTTTCCTGGGACATCTGGCCTAGGTCCCACCTCTGGACCTCTAGGGTCACGTGGAATGTCAGCCCAGTAGTAACGAGGATGCCACACCTACTCAGCAAGGGACCGGGATTGAGATTGCATTGAGACTCAGGCTGTGAGTTGTGAGCTCACAACTAGGGGAGGCCACATTTGGAAGCAGAAGTTGAATGTTGCAGCAAGATTTCCAATGAGGCAAGAATGAGATACCAACCATGAGGGCACAGAGGGCCATGAATCCAGCCTCGGGGGCTGCACTGGGTGGCATGTAGCGGAAGCGGTGGCCCTCACTTCAGCCAGGTCACGATCTCAGGTCTGGGAGTTCGAGTCTCAGCTGCCAGGTTCTCTGGCTGATGGCTCAGAGCCTGAGCCTGTTTCTGATTCTGTCTCCTCTCTGCCCTCCCCGTTCTCATGCTCTGTCTCTCTCTGTCCCAAAAATAAATAAACGTTGAAAAAAAAATTTTTTTAAAGAAAATCCAGCCTGGGGAGTGGGGGGCACGGAAGGTTCCCAGAGAAGGGAGCAGACAGATGCTCTGACTGAGTCTGGAGGGACACAGAAGACCTCCCTCAGGGGAGAAGACAGGGATTGCGGTGTGGGAGAGCGCAGGTATGCAGAGACATGGGGTGTTTGCACGCAGTGGAAAGGAGACTCCATACAGAAGATGGCAAAAACCATGAGGCTCGAGAGGGGAGCCCGGGTGGCTTAGTCAGTGGAGCTTCAGACTTTGATTTCAGCTCAGGTCATGATCTCACAGTTCAAGGGTTTGAGCCCTGCATCAGGCTCCGCACTGACAGTGCAGAGCCTGCTCAGGATTCTCTCCCTCTCCCTCTGCCCCTCTCTGACATACGCTTTCCCTCTCTCAAAATAAATGAATAAATCTAAACAAATAATGAGACTAGAGAGATAGCTGGAGGTCAGATTGTGCAGGCCTTTGCTGGCCATGAGGTTGAACTCTATCCCAAGTGCAAGAGGCATCCCTAGAGTTTTAAGCAAGGGAATGACATAATTAGGTTGACTTTTTAGATCAGTCATTCTGACAGGATAGTGAGGAATGTGTTGATCACAACTTAACAGTAACCCTCTCTACCCTGTAAGATGCATCTTATTGTCCCAATTTGCATATGAGCAGACCAAGACCCAAGAAGCTATGTGTCCAAGATCCCGCAGTTGGTGGATGGGATAGTCAGACGGGAGAAATGACCGCAGGGCAAGGCGTCATTTTCCTGGGTCATATTTGCATGCCGGGAGAGTGTGAGCACAGAGATGGGGGGACTCTCAGTACTGCTGAGTGATTCCCCCAAGAAGATGCCCATCTGTTGCCTGGGCACTGAGCGGTGAGGTCATCCCGAGGGGTGGCCGCCTGTGACCATACCCTGCTCTTCCCCTAGTACTGGACAGATGAGTTTCTCCAGTGGAATCCTGAGGACTTTGACAACATCACCAAGCTGTCCATCCCCACCGAGAGCATCTGGGTCCCAGACATTCTCATCAACGAGTTGTGAGTGCTGTCATTTGATGCTGGGTGGCTGGGTGGTTCTGGGGCTGTGGAAAGATGGGGCTGGGGGCAAGACTCTGCTGTGGCATGAGAGGTCTCACCCAGGCTTGCAGAACTGTAGGTAAAGTTGGCTTGGGCCCAAATTCCCCTTTGGTTTCTTTCTCTTTTTTTTTCTTTTTTCTTTTTAAAACTCCTCTTTTTCTACACCTGATGTGGAAACCCTGTACTTCTTGGTCCAAGGGCCCCCTTCCCAGGGAAGGGAAGCCAAGGAATGAATTTGCCCTGTCATAATAGCTGAATGAAGGACAGCTGTGGTTTTCAAGGGGACAGTGAGATTACCGATAGGGATGAAGCTCCAGCAGTGGTCCCAGGGGTGATTTGGAGACACTCACACCTCTCAAGTCATACACATGCCTGGCTGGCTCCAGATCGCACCCCCAATGTGAAGTGGGTACCACCATCCTTGATTCCCAACAGCTGACAGCCCCGGCCAACATGCCCTCCCCCCATCCTTCAGGTTGTTCAGGCTCCACTGCCTGGGCTTCTTAATGCCAGGCAGTGGAAGATGGCTGGGGGACACAGATGGAAGGAGGAGGTGGCCCGGGGCCAGTTGCCCTCCGCCAGTACCCACCACATTGCCCAATGACGTGGCTGCCACTCAAAGTGCTTTTCAGGGGAGACAGTTGACCTAGACCTCGGGCTGGAGGGATCCCAGTTCCTGGCTGGATCTCCAGGTTAGACTGTGAAGTAGCCTGGATCTTAGTTTCTTATCTCTTGGCCTGATTCCACAGAAGGCTGCAGGCTCAGGACCCTAAGCTCAGGCCACTCTGTGCCACAGTGGTCATTTAGGAGAGCCTAGGGGTTGGGGATCTGCTGAGAGAGAGTGACAAAGTCCACCTCGCCTCTTTTCTTCTCAAGGATTTCTCTAGTTCCTTTTCCTCCTGGGAAGATTATTCTCATGTCACAGGACCTCTAGGCAAAGAGAAGCCCCGGTCAGGATGGATCCCCAGGATGGATCGCCCAACCAAGTTTGCCCATTGCCACTGGGTTGCTGATCCCGGGAGCTGGGCCCTGCCCAGCTGCATGGGTGGTGGAGTAGGGGCAGCTGGGCATGCTCATGACAGCAAGTGGCTTTGAGGTACCTGGATTCCTCACCTGCCTTTTGTGGCCAGGTTGCCGGGGGAATGAAGGAGCAATGCCCTTTCCTGCTTGGAAATGGCAGGTAATCTTGAGCCCCCAAACTGCCCCTGTTCCCTGGCCAGTGTGGACGTGGGGAAGTCTCCAAGTATCCCGTACGTGTATGTCGGGCACCGTGGCGAGGTCCAGAACTACAAGCCCCTCCAGGTGGTGACCGCCTGTAGCCTGGACATTTACAACTTCCCCTTCGACGTGCAGAACTGCTCGCTGACGTTCACCAGCTGGCTGCACACCAGTGAGTACCGCACACAAGCTTTGTGGGGTGGGGGTGCAGGTTGGAGGGTCCCCGAAACCCCTACTTGAAGAGCCCACCCTAGCAGGCACTCTCCTTTATTCAAGTTACTTACTGCTTATTTTGTAATGCCGCTGAGCCTCTGTTTCCTCATCCTCCAAATGGGACTCTGTTGTTCTTGCCATCTCCCCAGTAGTCACAAGGGTTGAATGATAGCCAGGACCCCCGGTGAGGGCTAGGATCTGACACTAAGTGTCTCTTACTTGTCTTTTCTCCATGGGTGCACCCTCCCCCTCATCTCTCTGCCCAGCTTTCTTCAGTCACCTCCCCAACGGTCCCCCTCTCCTTCATGCTCCTCAGAGCCAGCAGGGAGAGCTCATTAAATGCAAACCTGGCCTTGCCCCTCCCTGCCTAAAAGCCTCAGTGGCTTCCCTGCACTCCTGAGATAGAACCAAAACCCTTCACCTGGCCGACAGGGGCTGCCCACAGTCACCACTCCAGCCTCAGCCGATGCATGTTCCCCTGAGTCCTGCCCAACCCAGCTGCCTTCCTTCCCAGGCCCCAAAGCCCTTGTTCTCTCCCCTTCTCACAGGCTGCTTCCTCTCCTGGGCCACCCTGCACCCTCCTCCTGCCCCCCACCACTCCTAGTTCAGCCAAGTCTCCTACTCACCTAATCACAGCACTGGCGTCAGTGCCTCGGGGAAACTCCTCTCATCCCAGACTAGCCATCCCCCTTGTCCAATTTTTAGCACCCTGATCTTCTCCCCACTTCTATTGCACTTGTAGGTGTTTGTTCAATGTCTGCTCCTCGATCAGATATAAATTCACAGAGGGTAGGACCATGACTTCCGGCCCACCATTAGGTCCCCAGTACAGTGCCTACAAAGGAAGGTGCTTGGCAACTTTTATTTAATGGATGAATACGAGGTTCTCACTAAAGTCTACAAAGTGAGCATCACCCTCTGGCAAGAAGGCATCCTCCACTTCTATTTGATTTCGTCACATTAACTGTAAATTACAAACATAATACAGAACTTCCTTGCACAAAAACCAGAATTGCAAATTATCTTTGACTTTTGACCTCCACCTTCAATCCTGAACTCTTCACCAGCAACTCCGCACACCAAGACTTAACAGCTTTTATCAGTATAAGCCTCATATGGTATGTTCTTCCAGATCCTTCTCTATCCTTTGCATATACACATACATACTCCTCTATGGAAAGTACAGGAAAATTATTTCTTAGGTTGTTATTTTACTAAATGTATCATTCATGCCACTGCTACCTGATTCTCTTTACAGACCACAAGAAGCATTGGACATCTTTCCGAGTTAGTGTATATTTAGATCTTTAGCCTACATGTTGACTGCTGTAGGATAGCTCAGGGTTGGGATGCATCATAGTTGATTAAGCAAGCACTTTCCTGATTGGTGGACACGTAGATCTTTCCCTATACTTTGCTGTAACGGACGCTGCTGGCTTTCTATATGTCTAATGTCTCTAGTGTAGATGCAGAGAAGTAAAACCGCTTTTCTCTAAGTGAAGATTTTGCATATTTCCCTAATTCACCTTTGAGGATAGTCAGCCCTATGAAGGCAAACGTGAAGAATGCTGACTTTTGTTCATTTCCTAAATGGGGGACCCTAATGGAAACCTAGAAGAGGTGTGCATGAGAGAGAGAGGGAGGCAGGGAGAGGGAGAGGAAGAGGGAGGAAGGGAGGGAGAGAGAGAGAGAGGGAGAGAGGAAGAGAGGAGAGAGAAGGAGAGAAGGGGCTTTCTAATAGTTTGGTTCTGGTAGATACAGTGTGCGTTATCACTTCATTTTACGGCTGAGGACACGGAGGCTGAGGGCTAAGAGCTGAGTCCACCTAAGTCCTGCCTGTGCGGCCCACCGCGGGCCCCACCCTCACAGGGCCCCGCACATCCTCCTGGCCCTGGACTCCAGAGCTGGCTCGGTCTCTTCCCTCCCAGTCCAGGACATCAACATCTCCCTGTGGCGCTTGCCAGAAAAGGTGAAGCTCGACAAGACTATCTTCATGAACCAGGGCGAGTGGGAGCTCCTGGGGGTGCTGACCCAGTTTCGTGAGTTCAGCATGGAAAGCAGCGGCTGTTACGCAGAGATGAAGTTCTTCGTGAGTGGCCCTGGCGACAGACGCGGGGGAAATGATAGCTAGAACTGCTGGGCGTCATCCCCAGGGAGACTTCAGGAGGCGTGTGGGGAAGACCATCTATACCCCTTCTCCCAGCTCCAGGTCACACACATGCGTGGGACCTTCAGGGCAGCAGATGGGGAAGCTCAGGGGAATTGTCCCTTCCTCGTCCTCTGCAGCCACCGGCCTCAATCCAGAGGCCGGATGTGAGGTCTGTCCGGTTCTTCCTCTTCCAGCAGGGCCAAGCCGGAAGCTCCATGAAGCGAGGGGTCCATGATGGGCTGGGGGGTCCTGGGTGCAGGACCTGTGTGCCCCGGGTTTCCCCCAGCTCCTGTCCTGGTCCTAGGTGGTCATCCGCCGGAGGCCCCTGTTCTACACAGTCAGCCTGCTGCTGCCCAGCATCTTCCTCATGTTCATGGACATCGTGGGCTTCTACCTGCCTCCGGACAGTGGCGAGAGGGTCTCCTTTAAGATCACACTCCTCCTGGGCTATTCTGTCTTCCTGATCATCGTGTCGGACACGCTGCCGGCCACAGCCATTGGCACTCCCCTCATTGGTAAAGCCCGCTCCAGGGGAAGAGCACAGTGTGGTTGGGGGTGGGGGTGGGCGGGGGCTGAAGAACCGGCGCCCTCCCACCTGCTGTGTGTCCCCCGACCTTCCCCGCGTGCACAGGTGTCTACTTCGTCGTGTGCATGGCGCTGCTGGTGGTGAGCTTGGCTGAGACCATCCTCATCGTGCGGCTGGTACACAAGCAAGACCTGCAGCAGCCCGTACCCGCCTGGCTGCGGCACCTGGTCCTGGAGCGGGTGGCCCTGCTCCTTTGCCTAGGGGAGCCCCCGGCCACCCCCCAAGCCGCCAAGACCGATGACTGCTCAGGTGAAGAGGGAAAGGGGGCGTCCCACACGGAGGGCTTGGGGGTGCGGACGTGGTGGAGAGTCTCTGGCTGGCGAGTCTGACCGGGGCTGGGAACTGAGTGCCACCCTGCACCTGGCACCCCGTGCCGGGTCTCACTGGGAGGCAGCAGAGTTCAGCCAAAGTCATCGGTGGGCCCTTTCCGCACCTTCACCTCCCCTCATCAGTCCGGGTGTGGAGAGAGACGGGGCAAAGTGAGAGGCTGAGCCTGTCAGGAGCTCGGAAGGACTTGCCTTTCTCTGAGATGGACCCAAAAGGGGGTCAAACAGCTGCCCCTCCAGCAGTCATGGGTCCCCTTACCTAGCATGGCTAAGTGTGCAGCCAGGATTTCTAAAACTCTGCATTCAGTCAGCCCAGAGACCAAGTCCCCTTCGAATTTCAAACACCTATGACAGAGGGACAGGGGTGCAGGGGACAGTAAACGTGAAGCTCGTTCTCCCTGACAAATTGTTTCAGCTACATCCGTTGCTGGTGGTGGTGGTAGTCGTGGTTTGTTGATGTATTTGTTGAGCACTTTGAGGCAGGCACGTGCGCTTTCTGTGCGTGATCCCAGGCCATGCACAGGCCCCGTAATAGGATTGTCATCCTCATTTGTCAAGCGAGGAAACAGGCATAAGGCCAACTAGCTTGCCTTAAGTCACAGAGCCAAGGTACTGGTGGACTGGTCTGAACCCAGGCCCAGCTGACGCTCTGCTTGTATTTTTCACCACCCCTCTTTGTCCTCCCTTCTGGCGAGAGCTAGGCCTTTTACAGGAGATGCGTGGTTAATCTAAGACCACCTCATCGTGAACTGATGAATGAGTACTCCAGCCTAATGCCCAATTTCACTGCTCACCTATGAGGTAGCCATAGCTGAAGGTGTATTTTCTGGTACAAAGGGACTTGGACTGGAGTCAAGGAGAGGGCAGCAAGGCCATATGGCACAGCAGAGACAGCAGTGGAGTCACAGTCCACATACCTTCAGCCTTGGTGGCCTCACTTTTAGATGATGCTCCAGCTGTGTGACCACAGGCTAGTCACTTAACCTCTCTGAGCTTTAGCACTTCCATATAAAAAGTCCAAATAGTAATCACTCCTACTCTGCCTCTCTCGTGGGGCTATTGTGAGGCTCAAGTGAAATAATAGATATCAAATTGCTGCAGGAAGCCCAGGTGTTTAAAAAAATGCATGGGAAAAATAAACACCAAATTCATATCTTAGTGACCTGGGGACAGATTGGAGGATGTGACTAAGGAGGGGTATGCAGGAATCTTCAACCGTGTTGCTTTCTTTGTTCGCTCAAGTGAGACGTTGGGTACACAAATAGGCAAGTTCACATCTATACTGTTTATGTCTGGAATTCATAATAACAATTTCTGCAAGCCACAGGCACAGAAGGGACAGTGGTCGTGCCATTCTGCCAGGCTTCCCTCCTCTGCCAATGCTGTGCCCTTTTTCCAGATGTGGGGAACCACTGCAGCCATTTGAGAGGACCCCAGGACTTGGAGAAGACCCCAAGGGGCCGAGGCAGCCCCCCACCACCACCGCGGGAGGCCTCCCTGGCAGTGTGCGGGCTGCTGCAGGAGCTGTCCTCCATCAGGCATTTCCTGGAGAAGAGGGACGAGAGCCGAGAGGTGGCCCGGGAATGGCTGCATGTGGGCTCCGTGCTGGACGGGCTGCTCTTCCGCATCTACCTGGTGGCGGTGCTGGCCTACAGCATCACCCTGGTTACTCTGTGGTCCATCTGGCAGTATTCTTGAGTAGGCACAGCCCAGTGGGGGTGTTTTGAGGGAGGGGTAGTAAGGCACTGGTTAGAATGGGGATTGAGGATTTCAGGGCCCAGCAGATGCCAGGGATGTTTTCAAAACCCTGTCCAATGCCAGTAATTCTGAAGCAGGGCCTTAACTCTTCCCCAAAAGCTTGATGTTCAAGACTCTTGTACCCCACCCCCCCACCCAACTTATCATGGCTTTAAAACATGCTGTCTTTGATCTAGAAAAAACCATGCATTCCCTAACTTCATTCTATTTATCTGTGTATCAATCCTTCATTTCCCCATTGTCACTTCCCTGAATAAGGCACTTTGAAATTCTGCTCCTCCCCCTTTAGCCTTGTTTTTAGATACAAAGCAAACCAACTCTCTACTGCACATGGCTGGTAACACTGCATTAGGTTTATTCAACCGTAATGTTCTCCTTCTTCACCTCACCTGTAGCCACTTCCCTGAACACTCATGTTCCATTGGATGATGGTGGGGTAGGGGGCGGGTGGGGGTAATAAAATACAATGAAGCCTAAACTCTCTTCTTAACCATTTGTCAGCAGCTGGGTGGGTGGAAGAAGAAGTTAAACGTTGCTGGTGGAAATGAGGTAGGGGTATTACCTGTGGTTTCAGTATTTGGTGCTTCCTAGCCCAGGGAATTGGGAGGCGACCACATAGTGGCTGTTATGAAGACCTAATAGGAGGTGGAATTCAAGGTGGGAGGGTAAGGATCATGAACACTTAGCAATGCCCTGCTCTGTTAACCCCCAGGAAGATGCTGGGAGAGTCCTCACAGTCTTGTTACCATTCTGTGCTCATGGTCTGTCAGTGAAGCTGAGAGCGAGCTCTCTCCCTGCCAGAGGATCCTGCAGTGGAGGCCAAGACATCAGCACCACGGTCAGCACCCACTGGTCTGGTCTTTGGAAGACAGAGGAAAGCCAAGGCTTGAGTTTAACTATCTCCTTTGGGAACTCTTAGCAGCCAGCCCCTGGCACATTCACCCAAGAGAGCAGGACCATGAAAGAGGCAGAGTCAGGAGCCTGCTCTTCAATGTTACTTTTCATATCCTGGTCCCCTGTCCCAAACACCAGGGTTTAAGACATGCTCAGGAGCACTCTATCACTCCATCACTCCATCCATCTAACAAGCGTTCAGAGGAAAGGAATGCCAGAACCCACCCAGAGTGACCTTAGTGTCACAGTGTTTTGCCTGAGGCTTTCTCTGGTTCTCCCTTTCTCATTCCAGCCTTATCCTTCTCCCCGTCTTGGGCTTCCTGTCACTCAGAGGAAGGCATGCTGGACATGCACTAAATGCTGCCAGTCTAAAGGGAAAGGACCCCAAAGGAATCTTTGGGATGAACTGTTCTGGGCTGGCCAATCATAAGGGCTTCAGTAGGGAACATGTGAAGTTATACCTTTTCACGACCCCAAACTGCAGTTCTAATTTGTAGACCACCCTGCGAAGCTGGATGGAGGGTAGACCTTGAGCCCTTGGGAGCTTCAAGAATGAGATATCCTAGAGACTGAGGAAGAGGACTCATTTCTTTTAGCTTCTTTCAGCTTCTTCATACCCTGTGCTCCCCAGCATGCAAAGTGAACTCATTAAATATTGTCTAACCAGCTGCTGGCTCCTAAGGTGAACTAGAATGAGATTTCACCTGCTTCTTCCATTCCAGACATATGGGCTTTTGCTATTAAATAGGGATTTTATATTTACCTTTGTTTTGTTGATGGGTGGATATCAGGGTCCCCCAGCAAAAATCAAGAGGCTGTGGGGCTGGGGATTGGCCCCATTCACAGTTGTTGCCTCCTGCTGAGCAGAGATTGGGCTACAGGTGGTCGTTGTCCACCCCAACTCTTTCAGGACGGTTCTGGAAGCTCATACTTTGGAGCCCGGTCTTGGGACCAAAAGCTGCCCCACCCCACCAGGATTTGCTGGGGCTGGTCAGGCTACTGGCGGAGTCTCATGCCTCCGGCCAGAGAGAGAGAAAGGGGGACAGTCTGGCACTGTCAGTGCACCACTGGCCAGTAAGTGGGTGGCTATTGACAAAGTGTCCAACCAGAAAGCTAGCAAGACACTAATCAACCTATTGATTCCTCATCTCCCCCCCCCCCCACCCTTCACCCACAATCAATGGGGCAACAGAGCCCAGCATTGAGGCAGCCAATTAACCACCTTGAGAAAGAGCCGCCACGTGTAACATCTTCTGCTCCACTAGCCACAGCCAATCAGCTCATCGATCCGGCATCCAAACTGTGCCACCCAGGGACAGGAAACTGAGGCCCAGGGCCAGAGAACACCCAGTGTACTGCCTCTCATCGATCAGTACTGATCTTGATCTTCTCCCAAGGAGACCTTTGCCCTGTGCGGGATATGAGAACGCTCAGAATTTCCTTCCCACCTGTTATGTCTCCCAGAACCTGCTCCCTTCCTTCCTCCTGCCACTTTGGCTCATTTCCTCATGAGACAACCAGAGACAGAGAACCAGAAACCACCTGTGTCTTTGTAAGTGTTTCTGAGAAGCCTGCCGGTTCTCTGTCTTCTCCCTGCTCCTCTCCTGCAGCCTCCCCTCATCACCTACAATACTTGGGTCCTCACCTTCCCTTCCCACTCACGCTGCTTTCCAAACCTATCATGTCTATGCAAAAGATCCCACTGGAGGTCTTGAAAGTGCCCGGCATGAACCCTTCCAACCCCCTGTGGATTCATGGCCCGTACTGCTCAAGTTGTGGAGCCCACTGCCACCATCCCATCTAGGAGGCTGCCTTTCTACCTGGTCAGCCACAGCCTGGGCTCCGTGACCTCAGGGTTTCCGACAGGAGTGGACCTTCCCTGGCCTCCAGGATAGTCCAGGGAGAGGAGCTAAACTCAGAGCCAGGATATGGGAGATTTCCCCAAGAGAACAGGAGAGAGAAAAAGTTGCCCAGGGTGGGGAGGGGGGGAGGTGCAGCGGGGGAGGGAGAGCATGTGGAGAGGTGGGGTTCAGCAATCACTAGCCAGATTCTCCTCCCTCCCCCACCTCCCTCCAGCCTCTGAATCAATACATTTTGAATCTAATCTAATAACAGAGATTTAACGAGGGGATAATGCGCGTGGAGCGGCCAGGCGCTTTGTCTCTTCTTTCATGCGGCAGCTGGGGCCCATTATCCGGGGACAATGCCCCATGCTAATCACTCCTCCTCTTCTCCGAGTGTTTGGGGAAGGGTGGTGGGCAAAGAGGGCAGCTCCTCCCTGATTGGAGGGGAGTGGAGGGGCGGAAGAGGGGGGAAGAAGTCGAGAACCGGCCGGATGGGCCCCTCACAATTGTCTTGACCTGATACGAACTCATTGGCCCTCTCCCCCAGTGCACACGCCGTTCACGTCCACGCTGACCGCTCAGGGTCGGGGAGCCCTAACAGTGCGCACAAACAGCAGATAATTACCTATCAGCTGCAAGTCCCCGTGGCTGGGAGTTGGGTGGGTTTTTTTTTTCTTTTCTTTTCTCTAACTTGGTCCTCTATAATTTAAGCTCCCCCATTAATGCTTGTGATTGGCCAGCCCTGACTGTCATGGTTAGAGAATTAAACCCTGCTTTTAGAGACCAAGAATACCCCTCTCTGAAACACAGCCACGTCTTCTGTCTCTTCTCTCTGGGACCTTGCAAAGGTGCTTGGCCTGCAGGAAGAGGTGTGGAGGTTAGACTATAGCAGGAACTTCTGGACAGTCATATTGACATGAATTAGATTGAGAGTCCGAAAGGGAAGGAATGGAATCTTATTTTCGAGAAGACTTGGAAGAAAGAGAGCTCTGTATCTACGTTGGGAAGGGACAGACCAGGGAGGAAGATCTGCCTCAGTCTCCACTGCCAGAGCCCAAGTTGGATGGAACCTAGAACTGGGGCATCTGCAGTGGCCACCCCCATCTCCTTATACAACACAGCTATTGGGGGCACCATGGGTGCGAGTGGCTACCCCAGATTTGCATCTTGGCCCCATCACACGCCAGCTGTGAAACCTTGGACAAGTACTTAACTCCTCTGTGCCTCAATATTCTCATCTGCAAAGTGGGGGTCATATCAGTACCTGGCTCATTGGGCACGTGTCTCCCAATATGGGGCAAAAACCCAGGGAAGCATGAGGCTGGAGTCGAGAGGTGTCTCAGGGCGTATCAGCCCTTCCTCTGTGTGCTCACATCACATTCGGAATGGGTAAGAACGTCTTCCGGGAGAGTAGAGGCCTTTATCCTTCTCATCCCCATTTCAGAGACAGGAAGGCTAAGCAAGCTGGTCACTCATCATAAGGCCAACGGGGGCTCAGCTTCCCGTTCCCACCAGGTTGGATTCAGACCTCTGTGCCCCATCCCTTTGTGTCCCCCTTTCTCCCATTACTCCCCCTTGTCTCACCCTGCACATTCCCAGCTCCTTTGCACAGAATTCCTGCCTAAAACAGCTTGGAGCCCCTGCGCTGGGAAGGTGTGTGCATACTGGCACAACATGGGTGGCCTACCCCTGGGTTTCTCCTATTCCGTTCCACTTCCAGTGTCCCTGTCTGCAAAGAGAATGAAACTTTTCGCAGAGGGCCACACCATGAGGATGACACTTGGGACTCTGGAAGCCTAGGGAGTCCCTTCCATGTATCTGGGAGGACCCCCGACACACACACCATCTTTCCCACCCTCAACCCCAAGACTTAGAAAGATCTAGCCTAAGGCATAAAAGAAGATGTCAATCTTTGTCCCAGAAGAGCCACAACCCTGTCTTTCTGAAGTCTGTCCACAAGGTGGCAGCAAAGTCCAAACGTTCTATGGAGAGGCCGGAAACCTTGGATCATCCCCTTGGCTTCTTCCCCAGGAGCCTCTGAAGCCCTCTTCCTTCAGGGCCAGAGTGTTTCATGCCCTGTTTTGATACTCTGGGCAGAGGCTGTCCCACTGACCCCTTCCCCTGTCACACAGCTGTGTCCATGCTGATCCCTGGGCAACTGGCCCTCTTCTGTGCTCAGAGCTGGACTCCACACAAAGCCAC